TAATTACGGTAGGTGATAGGTATAAGAATTTATTAATTATTAATAAAAGTATTAAAGATTTTAAGTAGATGAACAAGTAAAGTTTTGCAACTAAGGTGAAAAACATTTCCTACGCCGAAAATAATAGAGATAGTTTATCAACACTATAGCCTCTGCTAGTCAAAAATTCAACAATGTAGATTGAAGAGGGTTAAGAAGAAAAAGATATCAAAAGACTTTTGCATGACGGACTAACAAATCAACTATACTATGGCTCAGAACAGTTTCTTAATAGACCTGATTCTGCTACATCTCAAGAATTTTTAGATCACGTTACATATTAAGTTGATCTATCTTAACTTTATAAGATAGTAGACACTTGCTATGTGAATTCAACCATGCCTTATTGTCCAATATTGGTAGAGAACAAAGAATAAGCTCTTAAACACAACTCCTCAAGATATCTTTTGCAAGTATGGGACAATAAATCAGAGTTAATCTATCAAAGGGAACTTCACGATAAACCTATTGCTTGGTTTGTTACATTTAACACTCTTATTTATCTTCCTCATGAATCAGACCAAGTCTAGAATGAAAATTGCTACTACATAGTATTCTTGTACAAACAAAATTGTATGATTAAACTTGATGTAACAGGATAAGAATTTGGTGAGATAGAAGACCCAATCATAGGTTATTGCAACAAGTGCCTATATATATCATCTTAATCTACAATTTGGATTATAAGTACTGTGCAGACTAAATAACTTGGTCCAGGGGAAGTTGAACTAGTTAATGATTTTAAAAATGAAATAAGGAAACCATACAAACTTGAATTGGGACAGGTGAAGAACCACGGATTCTTAATAAATACTTAAAAAACTGCTGATCAATTTTTGATTATTTGCTGTGAAACATCAGATCATTAAATTGATTTCTCTATGCTTACTTACAAAGTTACAGAAAGATCTTATTAGATAATGCAGATCCAAGAAGTTGTTTCAAGAGAACTTGGGCAATAAGACACCATTGTTTAGTTTAAAGCAATATACTTTGATGAATGGCCTTATGCTATAGTCAGAAGAGCATCAGGATAAGTAGACTTCTATTGGAACTACCTAAGAATAAATAATTCTTAAGGTCAGTAAGATTCGCTTTTGAAAGACAAATTCATCGATGTTGAAGTCAACTTTGAAGGATTCTACTTGAGAGAACTGATCGGAAATAAAATTAAGAAGATCGGCCTTCATTGGCAGGAAAGAATTGGCTTGGATGTGGTTGAATCTTTGAACTCCAAGAATCTACATACATTCTAAACATTGTTTCAACAAAAGATAACTGATAAAGTGAACTTCTATCCCACCTCATGTCTTATTAACACATCTTTTATCATAGTTCACAATGATAGAATCTACATCTACGATATTATTAATAAAGAATGGGCTCATAACTCATTTTAATGCAATAAGTAAGTGAGGAAGGTATTTAGAAATGAAAAAAGTCCAGGTATTTACAATGTTGTAGTTTTGCTTTTAGATGGCACATTCGAGATGATTGATAACGAAGACACTATGTCTTTTAGTCCTGAAATGTGGAAGCATCATTAGATTAATAACTGCAAGCTTGAGGGTACTCCTATATCTCTGGTTCATGATTATAAGAACTACAGAATGATGTATGCTTTAACTAAGCAAGAAAGTACTTGCACTTTATAAGGGTTTACAAGAAATTTTCTGCATAACTTTACTGCACTAAAAATGCTTTGTGAAAGCTCAATAATTGTGCCTTTATTTACTTCATTCAAGGAGACTTAATTTATTGTTTATACACCAAGGGATAAAGAAGACTTTGGCTAAATATAAGTAGTATAAGTAGCATTCAAACTAAAAGCTGATGGCTAGGAAAAGGTTACTTCAACAGTAATAAGAACCATATAATTCGATGATGCTGATTTAATTAACACAAGTGATCATCCTCCGTTTGTATCTTTGACAAGAAATCTTGATGAAGCAATCTTTCTCATTAGTAAGAAGAATATTCATAAAGTTGAGGTATAATAAGAGACCGTAAAAACTTGGCATGATGTAAATATATCTGGTATTCAAATGCTTGATAATAATCATTGCTATGCTATAGTAAATAACTAGAGTTCGACGAAAAATTAAGTATCTGGGCTCAAATATTTCACTCTTGATATGTTGATGATGAATTTATAGACTAGCATGCTAGAAATCGATGTTACTGTTACTGGACCATACAGTGGCATAGAATTCAGTAAAGAAAATGAGAGACTTACTTATCTTAAGACTTATGATGTGGCAAATATTATACCTATCCTAAACAGATCAACTATCAATTACATGGGAATGCTTCCTCGATCAAACTACCTAGCATTTAAGAAAAAATAAAATTAGCTATTTGCCTTGGATAGAAATAACAGAATTACTGTCTGGAATGTGCTAACTGGAAAGCATATTTCCATACACCATCTACAGGGAGTAGATTACAGTTAATTTAAAATTTTTGGGCTAGAACAAAATGACAAAACTTACCTAAGAGAATGGTATTAGCCAATGACATTGATAGTTGAAACGCATGAAGAGTTTGACCAATTTGAATACTAGAAATTTTCATAACAAAAAATATCAAATGAAATAGAAAAAGGAAGAGCTTATGTGCACAATGAAAATTTTAAGTACCATTTATTCAAACTAATCGAAATTGAAAGTGAATCAACAGTTAAAGAGCATCAAGTCTTTGTCCACTAGCATTATAATGACAAGTTCTAAAGACTGTATATATCAGAGGATAGGTAATTGATGATTGAAAGGTTAGTGAATCTAAGAGTTCTTGTTTATCAAAGTGAGATGGAAAGTGATGGATATACTAAATGGCATATAATAAAGAGATTTGAAAATTTTCCTTATGATTTATCAGAGCTATCAGAGAGTCTATTTATGTTTTCGAAAGACTTAAAAAGATACATCAATTTTGATAAAGTTCAGGGTCTATTCTTCATAAGAAATACAATTGGATATGAAAAGATCAAAGTTCCAAAAGAATATATGAATCCTACTTTAGAAGATCCCTTGAATGTAATTAAAAGAGTCAAATGGGTTGGAAATGACTAATTAATGATCTGTAATGATTGGGGTCTTGAAAAGTTAATCAAGATTGATTACTAAAAAGAAACTTTTACAGAAATCAGCTCATTAAAGATACCTGCTTTTCAGCAGCTACTAACATTTGATCATATTTATGAAGAACCAACTCCTCTTGATCTTGGAGCAATAGTACATAGATTATTAAGGAAATATAGAGATATCTAAAGGAGAAGAATAATCTTTAATAAGGATTTCACAATTCAAATATACGAGGAACTATTCTAAGTTGACTATAATGTTAATAATGGTTATGGCAAGCTAGTATCAGATTTAAGTTTTTCCTATATTTCATGGAAGATAATTGAAGAAATTTGTAAGGAAAAGGATCCTTATGATATTAAGTTGTTTGACACTCACTCATTAATGATGCTTTCTCTTAACATATTGCCAGGCTGCTAAACAATTCTTCATAAACTCTCTAAAAAATCTGCTTAACTTCTTCATATTCTTCAGAATGTACCCATTTACTAACTTAGTAGTCCAGATTATGAGCATGAATTCGAAATGCCATTTATATTGAATCTTAAGAATAAAACTGCACTTCATATTTGCTATGAAAACAAGGAGTTTAAATCAGCTGATAATTTGATTAAATATCTATCAGATGCTCCTATTGATCATCATGGAAGAGCTATATAAGATATATTGCCAGATTTAGTGCGAAAGGAATTGCCTTCACTTCAATAGTACTTTGATAACAGACTTTTGACTACTCCATAGTTGAAAAAAGTTGGAAGAGGTTAACTTAAAAAATATCAAGAAAATCTAGATTTAGCTTTTACTACTTAGTCCTTGTGGGCCTCAGATAATCTTAAAAAGGAAATATTTATAGAGAATGATAAAAATGATAAGAAATTGAAACCCATAATGTCAGATGTAGAGTTAAAGTTCCTTGACTTGCCAAATTTTCATTATCTTAATCAGAAAGTTGCTAAAGATTTCTTTAATGCTCTTAAGGAAACTGAAGATCTATAACTATTTGAACTAAAAAGTATCAGATTCTTAGTTGATTATCTCTGGCCAATAATTAAACAGCAAACAAGGAAAAGATTGTTGATACCATTTGTATTCTACTTAATAACTTATTGGGTTTACACGAATTTTGTATACGAATTCTATTATACAGGTGGAGCATATGGAATTTAAATATTGTGGACAAATCTATCGCTACTTGTTTTATTTTCTCTCTATTTCCTGTTCTATGAGTTTAAACAAATTCTTTCCTCAAAAGGTTACGAATATTTCTTTAGTCCATGGAATTACATTGATCTTACACCACCAGTTATTATGATATCTTAGGCTATTTTGAATTTCATACCATTGCAGGATGAAGGACAAAATTGGGTATCTTCAATTTAAGCAGTTGGAAGTTTATTTATGTGGCTGAAGTTGCTTTATTTCTTTAGAATCAACAAAGATACTGCTTATCTAATTAGAATGATTGCTAAAGTTATTGGAGGAATGAGAACATTTTTAGGTGTTCTTCTTATTACAATTGTTGCATTTGGTGATGCATTTATCAGTTTGAAAAAGGTTAAAGAGCCATTAGATGATGATTACAGCCTAACACTCTCAAATTTTTTAATTGCTATTGTCTCAAGATTTGTCATATCTTGCTTCTTTGTTTACAAGATGATTTTGGGTGATGTCTCAGTTGACGATTTCGATGATACTCACAAGCTTTTGGCTGGCTTTTTGGTGGTATTTTGCACTCTATTTGTTATGATTATTATGCTTAATCTTCTGATTTCAATTATTGGCCAGGTCTACGGTTAAGTTTAGGAAAATTAAATCAATGAATTTTATCAAGAAAAAGCAACTATCATAGCTGAAAACTCATATTTGATCCCTAAGAATATTTTATCAGAGAGATTCAAGCCAGGTAAATATCTTTTAATTGCTAAGAAAGTTGGTGAAGAGGTAGCCTCCAAAGATGAGGAATAAGAAAATGACAAGGAACAAAGATAAATGAATAAATTTCTTGATGAAATGAGAGAAATTATTGATTAGAAATTTAAGGCTTTTGAGCAAAGACACGATGGGCAACAATCAACAAGATCTTAATTTAAGTTGAAGAAAACATTTTGATTTTATGGTATGATTTAAAAAAAGATAAAATTCAACTTTTAGATTTATTTCGATAGCCAGGGGTTTTGGGGTTTTGGGGTTTTGGGG